TATTTTACTATATAGTACCATCTATTTTTGTAATTAATTATCTCTAAGAACTCAATTAAAAATCAGAACAAACACGTCTAATAGTTCCTTGAGAGCCAGTAAGTACTCCAATTCTTCCCATTTTCACCATTGCATTGGCAAAATCAGCCTGGAATGATGTCCCCAAAAATGGGCTAAGAAATGCAAAGTAAGAATCTACAACTCTCCTTGTAGTCTCATCGTTATATAAATTTGCATCAGATTGTAGTACAGCAAAGCCACTTCTAATATTCTGCAGAATTTGACTGTCGAATGTCTCACCGCTGCCTCTGTCCATCGATAACCTGACATTAACATCTCCGTTTTGGGGGCAAGTGGACTTCAACTCGTGAAGAAATGTAGGATTTATCAATGGATCAGAACCTTTGTAGGGAGAGAAGTTGTAGAGCCTTTTGGTCATGAAAAAGCATGCAGTGGTACCAATTGTATGTGCAGCTGCAGTTTATTCATTCAATATTACCCTTAGTGAGACGATTTACAATCATACAAACATCTGTCACTTATTTTAAATCAAAAATCTTTCTTTCGAGTGGGAGTAATATATTAGTGTATAGATAGTTACCAGAGAGGAGAACAAGGTCTTTGTGAGAAAGGCCTTTCTGGAAGAACTTATGTTTGAGTTGTTGAATGGAATCATCAACGTCTGGCATATTATCAGCTAAAGATACATTTGAAACCAACCCATCTCTTCTTCCTGTTTCCACATTATAGAATGGCCCATTTACCTGTCCAATAGAACAATTTTTATAGACAACTGTGACGATCCACTATGTCATCACGCTATATAAGCATCACATAAGTGTCACATGATATAAACTTATAAATATGGAGGCTTACAAAGGAACAAAGCAAGTCTATAGTGGAACATTCTAGAGAAATGTGAAAATTTCTTATATTAAAATCTAGAATGTTATAAAATTTATATGGAAAGGTCTTTACAAAATTTTAAGCACGTAAAAAAATTACTTTGTAAATATGTAAGAGACTTGTTTAATAATTATTATTTACATATTAACCCCTAAAGTTAATAGTATAAACAGTAAGAAAGCAACACAATTCTTTTTAGCTTGTATATTTTCTTTTTCATTTTCTTAGCGATTCCTAGAGTTTGAGGCGATTGTAAACATGAGGCGAGAACATGAGTAAGTTATCAAGTACCAAATATGTACTTCGTAAAAAACTAAAAATATGATAATAATGAATTATCTTTTTAAATTTCACATCAAAAAAATCAATGAAATAAATAGAAACAGACTTAAGATAATTAAAGAAAAAAGTGGTACCAAGAATATAGCATCCCTAGCAGCAATAGCAACAATATCAGCACAAGAAATAAGTCGAGGACAAACAGCCTCAACCTCTGCTTTAGCTTTCTCAATCACTTCAAATCCTCCAACACCTTCATGACCAAATGCATGCCTTTCAGCATTAGGTCCATTTTCTATAAGAATTGATGCATCACACTCCTGATTGATCACTTAATATTTAATGAACGATCACTAAATGTGATTAAATAAACATAATTATGTAATTGGACCTGAACAAAGCAATCGTGAAAATGAAGTCTAAGCAAGACAGGAGCTATATTTTTGTTGGAGGCAGAAAATCTTTTGACAACACCACTCACAATGGATTCAACATTTGGGCATTTTTTGTCATAGAAACCAACTTTGAGCTGTCCATGTGAAATTCCTATTTGATTACTCAAAATTAAGATGATCATAAAAAGCATCATTGTCATCCTGTTTATAAAAGGTGTTTGAGTGAATAGAAGGTCAAGAATAAGCTTGCTTAATGTGTTTTCTCAAGTGTATGCAAGTTTTGTTTATATGGAGGAAAAATCTCAACTATACTTTATCTCGTAATTAATAAGCAACAGTTGAGCATTTTGATCTTATCTGCTTTAGCATAGGGCTTGATTGACATTACAAATTTTCTGCAATTCATAGCTGCAAATGTGAATCAATAGGCCTTCTTTTTGGCTTTTGTCTCTCATGCAATATGGGCTCCACTTAAGAGAATATTAAACTTGATATGAAATTTAATTAAAAAAAATGTGAAATTTTGATCTAAAATGTCTTAAAAAATAATTGTGTGGTTAGAAATCCTTTAATAAAGGAAAAATTAATATTTTAATTAAATTTTTATAAATATAAATATTTGACATTTTCTTAAGACGGATTAAAAAAATAAAATAAACCAAGATTAGGAAAGAGGGAGTATTATATACTGAAGGTGCTTCTCGGGAAATATGTGGGATCCACTTTAGGGCTTTTTCAATTTTAATTTATTTATTTTACTTTGATTTTAATTTTTTACATATTTTTAAGTTCTATCAAAAAAAAATATATAAATCAAATTAATTAACAATTTAAAATTGGATTATATATTTTTAATTTAAAAAGTATAATAAATAATAACTACTAGAGTAATAATTTAAAATATTTATAAATCATATCAAAATTGAATTAACTCTTTAATTTTTATCTACATCACATAAATTAAGATAAAATGAATAATATTATTAAGCTCGCACTACACACGAGATCTCATATCTAAGAAAATTTTAGAAACAGCAAACCTAATAGATTTGTAGTTATAATTTTGATAATTGCGCTCCATAACTATAGTTTTGTTTGCTATGAAGGCTAGAGCTTGTATATTCTGCTTGTTTGTACATTTCACTTGCGAATATATAAATAGGTACATTTGGGAATTCTTCTTAACCTCGTTTGTATATTTCGTTTGTCAATATACAAACAGGATAATTTATTATGAATTTCATAAATCGTAAATCGATAAGATAAACATATATAAAATTCTGAATTTACATATTAAAAACCGAGTTAAATAAACTTTAGATTTATAAAAATCAGAAGAATTATGCAAATTAAACAACTAGAAAAAATTAAAAACAATTATAGCTGTAAATTACAATTTTCTTAATAATAGCTACAATACTTTATATAGTCTAAATGTTTATAATTTTGTATAATTTCCTATAAAATTAAGGGGCGGGCCATACGTGAGGGGAGGTTTTTCCTCACAATTTAAGGTGACAGCAAAGGAATAGATGGCAATGCTTCAACAACCAAGTTGCATGGATGTGTGTATCTTTTTTGTAGTTTTATGGTCACTAATGAATTCACATGTATATCCATAAATATAGCTTTTTTAGGTTGTTTTTTTTACCTTTTATGGGACAAAAGTTGTTTGTGTCTATCAGTTTTCTGTCAGTTATTAAATGTTCTTTTTATTTTTGTTATGCCAGACTTGTATTTCATCAACTACATCTATAAATTAAAGCTACTAGCAACAAACCTTCTTTAACTATACTAACAATGGTGGTGAAACGGTATATTAATAAAAATTATGATGAAATGGTAAATATTGTTTTATATATTTTAAATTAAGAGATTTTAAATTTGAGTTCATTTGAATATGGAATCATCTTTGTTAAGGAGTATTTTATATCGTTCAATATGGAGTTTCAAATTAACTTTAATCAGTAGTGCATGCAGTGGCGAATTCAAAGGCAAATAATAGGACACCAACACCAATGGTTTCTTTGTAAAATTAAATATTTTATGTATATATTTCCTAAAATTTGTATAATATTATATTTTGACATCCGTACTACAACAAAGCTAAATGGTCCACATGTTTAAATGTTGACACTGAGGATAAAGTTTCGATAAATCAATACATTTTACTTGTTACACTCATGTTTGAAAAATTCTAAATTCAATATATCTTACTTGTTGCGTTCATGTTTGAAAGATCCTAAATTCAATACATTTTACTTGGTGCACCCATATTTGAAAAATCCTAATTTCACCTCCTCCGATCATATGTAGCATAATATTCACAGCGAAGAGTGTGATTAATATTTACTAGCAAAGCTTTTACACTAAGGTGTAGATTAATATTAGTTTATTTAGTCAATTTAGTTAGAAGAGTTATCGGGTTCTATTCTACTTAATCAAAAGTTATTTTAAATAATAAAATTTCTGCAAATAATGTGCACATGATACAATCGTTTGTAGAAAATAGATAAAGTAGGACACGACTTGCATCTCTAAGGTATTAAGCTTGAGCTTTAACAACTGGTAGAACGAGGCACTCGTTGTGTCTTTGGGTGTCAATGAACTTTCTTTTGCAGAATACACTACTTGTATAGGCAGTAAGGCTAATAAAGTAGTCGCACCAAGGAAATAGTCAAATACATGTTAAGTGTATAGACAACTGATGAATCAATCCCAGCTCAAATGAGACCACTAAAGAGCTTTGTGGTAAGAGTTCTCATCATAATGCGAATAGCCCGACCATATTAAAGGTATATTGCCCCATGAAATTTTGTCTGTCTAGACATATTTGCCTCTATACCTTGCCTTTGAATCTTTAGCAGTCTTCGTATCACCTGACCCGTTAAGATGATTGTCAGCAGGACTAAAAACTGCTGAATGAAGGTTACCTTCTTCTAACCACTTCAAATGGTTTTCCTTGAACTCCAAATGTTTGATCCTAGCTGCTAATGCAATTTCTTCAGTATATGGTCCAATTTTGACCATGGTCAATAGTACCCGACTGTACCTATAGCTCAGCAACTGCTCTGAGATAGCAACCAACTTAAAACAAGGGTGCTCTGGAAACGTGGTCTCAATTGACTCATCCTCTCTTAATACAGGATAGAAGTACACAAGCCGGCCACCAATCACAAGCATCTTAGCAGCAAGGTCAAGCAAATCATGCACGCATTCCACTAAGCTGTAAGGAGCAGTTGATGGTATATGGCCTGTCCTTTTGTCATCAGGAACTGTATATGGACCAATCATTCCTTTCAATAGCTTCCTGCCACCAGATTTACGTCCTCCAGCACGGACTCCATAGGGAGGGTCACATATAATGGCATCAAAAATCTAGAAAACAGAACATAACAGTCAAGAAAAAGCAGCAAGACCTGAAAAAAATACCTTTTTAACATGCCAATTAACTGTTCAGTTCAAACTGCCTTTGGAACTCTGAAAAATAATAAACCATAATTCACTAATGGCATGACAAGAATAAACTACATATCAGAGGGCATTAAACGCTTTCCCGAGCTGCCTTTGACTACATATACTGATACATATAAACTTATTTCTCTGATTTTACCTAAAGAATTTATTTTAATTTATTACTTTTATGGCATAAGACCCATGGAAGGCCACAAGTAATTGAATCCTCGTCAAGAATTTTTGTCTCAACATGAAGGCTTTCTCCCCTACTTCCTCTAAAATAAGTATCAATGGAACCCGGCATCCTCGACCTTAAGTGACTATCACCTCCATTTGATTTCATTTACATCTCCATGCACTTTTGCTCTCTCACCATACAAGACTTCTATTGCTGCTTTAGAATATTGTTTGTATGTAGAAAGTGCACCTCTGTTTGGCACAAACTCTCAGATTTCCATCTCCACTTACTTTAACTCTCTCACTGTATAAGACTTCAACTGCTGCTCTACTAATCTGTAGAGATCTATAAATTTGAGAGATATCCATGAATAAGACAGCTATATCTGGGCATATTACCTCTGAGAAAAGGAAAAAGTTCCAAGACATACCAAGTTGGAGAATTTCGTTCTTCAGATTAACTAGTCAAGTTCTAGTCGCTGTAAGTCCCAGAAGCTCATATGATGTGGAGATGTGCAACAAACAAAGTAGAGACAACAGTATATGCCATCTACTCCAGAGACTTCAGTACACTCGAGCAACTACTAGAACTGCTACTACGTGATTGCCAGGACAAGAAAGTGTCAAATAAAACCTGGAAACTAAGCTTACTCACTCTAATTAAATCGAAAGAAGATTTGAACTCTAACCCATCAACTCTGAAGATAATGTACACTGTAAGCAAACAATTTACCAACTTCTGAAGATCACATTACATGATTTCAGAGTGCTGCATCATTCTTCCACACATAAGAGACCCATAAAATGAGCTTCAAATTACTTGACTATGAGAAAAATTATCTTCAATATATACCACCCTCGACTGTCAATATAATGTAACTGATACGACTTGATAATGACCTTGAAAATTAGAAAATGTAATAGTTTCTTTAACCATATCAACTTTGAAGATAGTAACAACATTATTGATAGTGAAGACCTGTGTTGGAAAAGAAAGGATTGTTTCCACTATACCTTTTCCCAAATTTTAACTTTGTATAAAGTAACTCTTTCCAGAACAAACCTTGCTTTTACTAGAGATATACGAACCTTTGTTCTTCAATTAAAAATTTGATTAGTCTTAATTATATGAAAAATTAAGAAAATAACTTCTCCACTTTCAGGTTATTGTTGCATGAAGAAAAACATCAACAGAAATCATCTGGTAATTCATTGCACTATGTGAACTCTACAACTTCCTGCCTCAAGAAAACTAACTCTTGACAAGTCAATCGTGGCTTGAGCTAGGATATGATGTCTTACAAACGCAAGCAACAACTGTGGTTCTTTTTTGTTGTTAGCTGTACTGTTTTGACATATTACTCTCTTTATAAGAGTTGTCTCCTCTTTGATCACTATCCAATCTATTGAGTAGGGCTTTGCATCTTGAACATAAGAAAAATTGTGAAAACATGTGTGAACTTAGCAATCTTGGCTGTACCTACCAACTGAAGCCCTTTGCCAATTAGTACAAATAAAGGAGGGAAAACACCATCACCCAATGATCAAATACTTCATAGAAAGAAGAAACAGAAGTTGCAAGTGAAAGAACAAGAGGACTAGACAACCAAAATACACAAATAACTTCAAATAAGGATACCTCATTCAACCCCGAACGCCAAGGAGGAAGGTTGTTGTCTGCCCTTAATAAACCAATAGGCATTGGCAGTCCGTACTGCAATTAAAGATATGAGTTTAGCATAGAAAGATAATAAATAAAATTATACTCCAAATGATCAGATGATAAGATCAAATAATAGCAATTACTATATAAGAACAAAATTAGCATCCCATATAAAGAGAACACATCACTCTGCCCGTACCTGCTTGAAGTTGCTCCAGACATTACAATCTGGACCGCGGCCATCACGTACTACTCGAATGTCAATATCTGCACCCTGGAAAGTCAATTAATGATAGTAAAGAACCCAGGAAAAGAATGAATGCTCAAAGTTCATGCAAAAATAGAAACACTAACCATTGTCACTGCTCCATAATGAGCTGCTGCAACTAGAATGCTTCCTGTGCCCACAAAAGGGTCATAGACAAGCTTTCCAGATTTGACCTGTGCTTGGTTAGCCATCAGGAACGCCATTTCAGCATCCATGGCTGTTGGCCCGAGATAAGTACGACTTTTTAACTGATAAGTTGGCAAAAGCTTCCTATCAGCAGTACCAATCTCTCGACCAAAAAAAATTCTTTTTCCCGAAATGGGTGGCAATCCATTGTTAGAATCATAATCATCTGTTTCTATGAGCCAGAACGTGTGATAAGGATTCTTTAAGTTGACCCGGCCCTGGAATCAAACAGACATAAGTAAATTCACAGGCAATATCTACTAAACCTCAGAAATTCTGTGAAATACAAAAGTATATCTGAGAGTAAAATGCATTTTTACATGCCGTCTCCACTTCACTTCTCTCAAAATATGTATGTTGTAATTGGTTAAATAAAATAAGACACACATAGAGTGGAGAGAGCATGTATATGAGGACTCAGAATGCATTTTACTCTTAGATATATTACATGTATTCATGGAATTTCTAAGTCTCTATTTTTCAACTTAGACATTACGGGTCGTTTGGTAGAGTGTGTTGGAAAAATAATGCATGCATTAGCTTTGTGTATTACTAGTACCTTGTTTGGTACACGATTTCAGACTCTATGTAAACCTAATGCACACTCTATTTTGTATAATTGAGGCGTATATTACGAATACATGGAAATCCATGGTATTAGTAATGCAAAGGGTGTTAATGCAAGCATTAGCATCAGTAAAGACTCAATTGCCCCGCAAAACCTTTTCCACGTCTTTTCTTTTCCACAATTTTTTTTATAGAAAGCATACAATAGTTATTACTTTTAATACACAAAACCAAATACTGCATAAGAAATAATCACATCATAACTAATGCAAGCATTACTAATACACCATATTCAACATTATTGTTATACACCCTATCAAACGACACCTAAACCTTCAGTTATTTGTCTTGAAGGTTTTTTCTCCAATTGCTAATGAGTCCATTAGTTTCTGACTTGACATTATCCTATTTATCATAAATATGATTTATCTTTTTTTCCTTTTGAATGCCACATCTAAAAGAACCCTTACGAAAAAAGAAATCCTAAAAAGAAAACCAACCTTATCAGTCTCTCCAGTAACCAGATACTATGCCCATTATCCCATCTCTCTGCTTGGATTCTCCTTGTGTCAACTACCACCTAACAACCCATCGCTGTCCCCCTCCACTCAACGCCCTGATTTCCAATATCTCTTCACCTCTTTTCCTCTCCCCCCAATCTGAATAATAAATCACCACCTTTTCTCCCTGTTCTTCACCAACCCCATATCCAACCCGCTCTTCTTCCTTGGTTCAACCCTTCTCACAATCTCCGAGCTGTTTCTGTTTTCTGTCTTCTTGGTACTTGGGATTTAGCTTAAAATATAAGCAGAACAATGATACAACTCTAGATCAAAATCCTAAGGAAAATTGAAGATTTAATGTGCAAGGTGGGTATGATAAGGGAACAAGAGTACAAATACAAAGGGACCATATTAGTTCCTATACCAAACAGGGATAATGAAGCTGAGACTACATCCTCAAAATTGGAAGAACAAACCAAAACACCAGTAATATCACCACACTCAGAAGCAACAATCACATTCCGCGGCATATAATTTTTTCAAATGATTAAATGAAAATAAAGTGATGCAGATGATGGTAAGTACAGCAAAAATTGGATTGAATAAAAAATATAAACTTCACTTCATGTAACAAATAGAAGGGAATAATTCTTGATGGAGTAAATATTAGAACATGTTAACCCAGTACATATAGTATAGACATAAGGAACAACAAAGAACAAGAAGGAAACAGAAATTCTCTGCCTACGAAAACATAGGAGGAAAAAGTGTTAAGGTTAGTTAGCTTCTGCTCCTTTACTTCCTTCAATTAGAAAAACCAAATTGATCAGATTGAGTTTTATGTAATGTACTCCAGAATAACAAGTACGTACCTTGAAAGGAATGTAGGATAGTGATCGAATACGTTCAGTTTGCTCCTCAAAGCTGATAACCTTCCCAAAGGTCTCAACAGCAATCTTGAATGTGCTATCAGATGTCAGGTATGGCAGTTTCTTCTCGTCTGGATAACTTCTAATCGACTCTTCTAATTCCTCAAAGTTGCTTCCTTCTCCCCAGAGTTCAAAGATCCCTTTTACAAGAATACCTGCACGACAGGATTATCAATATGTTGTATAGCATATCTACTCTTCAAACCCTTTCCCCAGATAAATAGAGAGATATCAAGAGTTTCTTAACGCAAAGCCTCCTATGTCACATACTAAATCCCTTTTCACCAAAAAATGTTTGATACTCTTCCAACCTATGTACAGAAGAAAAGCTTCAATGAGTTTCTAAGGGTCCATGATTCAAATGTCATATCATAACTAAGTCCCTTATAACTTGGAAAACAATTCAGAAACCGCAACATCACTTAATTAATCAAATATGTTCCATAACGAAACCAATGAGTTGGTACTGCTTATAGATCCTTTGCTTCTATGGTGCTGTTCTCTTAGCTAAGTCCATATCAACTCCAAGTAGATTATGCATCCTCAAATGAACTGGCATTTCACCTATTAATAGCCACCTCTTTTAAGCCTAACCTTAAAGAGAAGTTCAGAACAATAAATGTATAAAATGAAACAAGTAATTGACCCAAACAATTGAATCAAAAATCCAAGATAAGAGTTTTCCAACTACTAACTCAACAAAAATTAATTTGCGGGATGTTTCAACCTATTTTCTTATGAAAGCTGCTTTAGTAATTAACTCTACGCAATGGTAACCGGGCTAGATATGAAATGAAAAAACGAAAGCCTAAAAGGAACAATTACAATTCTAAATACAGTAAAGCTGAGAAGAGTGAGACTTATTTAGTAACCAAGACGACTGATTATGTATCACAATTTCTATCTGTTTTTAGCGCCGCTGAATCTAACTACATATATAGCTTAAGAATTGTATAGAGAGATGAAGAGAAGGTCTTACTACGGTTAGCAACACTTCGAGCAATTTCTTCAGAAGGAAGATTAACGAAGTGAAAAGGAGAGTCTGGATGATGATGTTTTGGAAGCTTCCATTCAAGTGAACCATTGCATTGTAAGTCAGTTACGTCTTTGCTGAAAAGGTCTGCTAAAGATTCAACTTCAGGTTTCCTGTAGTCCAGTAACCTGTGATAGAACACGCATAGATACCACATCTTCTGCAATCTTTCACTTTCACCTTCAAACCTAACAACTTACTGTTAAATTGGAAAATGTATTCTAAGGGGAAGATATCAGTACCGGCGGCGACTCCGACAGCTGCTGGTGGCGGGATGAATGAACTTGGATACACGCTACTCTTCTTTTAACCCCAAAGTCCCAACAAACGCAAAACCCTGGGATTTTGACTTAAACCCAAAAACTTTCAAGAGGAAAAAGAAAAAACATTTTTTCATAAAGTATACAGCTAAAAACAAAATATTACATAAGAATTGATTTCCTACAAAAATGTAATTGTGAGTTTCTTACTTATTTCTTAATATTTATAAGAAAATATTTCAAAAGTATTTATATGTATATATATTATTTATCAATTAAAACACTATAGAATCGAGATAGAATCGTAAGAATATATTTATGAGTGGCGATGGTGCAATGATTAAGGGGTGGGGTTGAGAGACTGGTGGGGATGATTGAAGGAGAAAATAAGTTTGCAATCACACTTATACAACTTGTTTTTCCTACTTTTATTTAGGAAGTCATTTTCTTTATTTTTAAGTAACTTATTTTTCACATTTTCATCAACTAAACATGGGTGTCACGCCCAATTGAGAGGAGACGCAATTGGCACCCATTACCTTATTCGATCGGAGCTAACCACTAAAACATAATGGAAAGGAAATAGCAAGCGTTGATAATTTTTTCACAATGAAAATCCTAAAATAAGATAACTAGATCAACGAGGTCACAACAACATCAAGGACATAATGAAATGACAAGTAAGACCATCTTAATTGGTAAGAACAATCAAATCAATATGGATGCAACTAAAATCATATATACAATGAGTCGACAAGGCTACAAACAAGAAGATGAAAAAAGACAAAAGAAAATAGGTACACAAGTCTTTATGAATACTGCAGCTCAACTAGTTAGGACAACACCCCGATAACTATACACAAAACTCATGGTTGCAAAACATATAAACAACTAACAGCTCCACCAGGAAGAATTAAGCTTACTAATCATCGGTTGGAAGAACATCTTTAATGCAAAAGTCGACCAGGATCTTTGTGTGAACTTGTTGGACGAATGTAGTGTCACGCAACAATTAAACTTTGGTACAAATAGATATGTACTACTATGAAAGGTGGAAGTAGAATAAAATATAGTTGCGGTAAAAAGGATAAAAAATTATTTCACTCATGGCTAACATCTGACCTCATAGTAACAAAATACGCATGATATGCTCGTGTAATCATATATATCTCACACACATACATACACAAATGCGAATGCATGTCATACCTAGTCAAATGTTAG